ATATCCTTATGCTTTTGAATTCTAAAATTCATTTGATTCCAGAATCTGTAGAAGCATTTATATGATAATTAGGGCTAGTTCAAATTTCTATTACATAGCAGTAAGTATACAAATTATACCTACCTCCGTTGTATTCTTAAGATAATGAAGGAATTTAACAGATCTTGGTTTTAGATTTTCTTGTACTGGTTCTAAAGAAATCCAAACACAAATGACATTTTCATGCTTATCTTCTTGGAAAAAGTGAATTTTTAAATAAAATAGAATTATATGTGCTATTCAAAAGAATCCTTTGGTTAATTCTTTTGAAAAGAAAAGTATTCCCCCTCAACCTACACTTTTCTGCTCCCAATTATGAGTTTTATTAATCTAGTTTCTTGTTATTTTTGTCACAGTACTGGGGATTGTACCTAAGACCTCACACATGTTAGATAAGTGTGCCACCGCTAAGCTATATCACCAGTCCTGGATTTTTCTTAAAGTAAGCATAGTGTAAAAGTGAAGCATACAGACTTTGAATTTAGCCACACTACATCCAAAACACAACAATTTTGTGAGTTCTACCACCTTAGAAAAGTTACTTAACCTCTCTGAGTGTTACTTTCCTCAGCTGTTCAATGATGGTCCGAGAATTCGATGAGATGATAGATATAACAATATGGAGTCTGATATCCATTAAATTAAGAGCTATTTATTGATCAGCTGCCCTATGCCAGGTGCTGGTGCTGGATCCTGGAATTGTGTTCTTATCCAGTGATGCACACATTTTAGTGGGTAACAGAAAATAAATAAGCATAAGACCAAAGGATGAAATAATTATAAATTGAAAGACATGCTGTGACAACAATAAACACATTTTGGTGAACAAGAATGATAGAGGGATAGAGAGTTTCTCCTAGAAGATGCTATCTACTGACATTAGCAAATGAGGAGTAGCTGTGGAGCTACAGAGCAAGAGTGCGCATGAAAATCAAAGAAAGATCAATAAAGTAAAGGAAAGGGACCAGAGGGAGGGAAGAGGGAAAATAATGGGGAATTATATTAACCAAATTATATTGCTACATTGTGGGCATGTATGAGTATGTAACAACAAATCCCACCATTACGTACAACTCTAAGGCACCAATAAAAAATTATATATATATATATAAATTATATGAAAAAATATATATGAAAAAACAGAGTGAATGTGTCTGGGCAGAGAGGAGCAGGAAAGTCACTTCTTTGTAACAACCTGGCAGTTATATGGAAAGGAGGCTGGAATGTGTAGTGGGGTAAAAGGCAAGGAGGCAGGGGGAGAAGTTGAATGCATTGGTGAAGGACACAAGACTCAGTAAGGTCACAAGACTATTTTATAAAGAGTACAGACTCCATCCAAAGGGCAGTGAGAATCCATGGAAAAGGCTTTAAACAGAGATCCTGAACAGACTTTAAAAAGATCACTCTGGTTTTAGAAAAGAAAATACATTAGAAATTTCTACTACCGTTACAGAGGGTCAGCCAATTAGTACCAGCCCCCTTATTGAAGGCAACTGAAAAATTTGGATGAGATATATTTTAAAAATCTAAAGAGCATCAAAGAGCTAAAAGGTATAAGGGAACGTCTGGTCCTAAATCTAGAAGAAGGTAAGAATTTAGATATGTAAGACCAGCAGGGAAAGCCCTTTCTGAACTGAAGGTATTTGTGATAAGAAGCTCAGGTCTTGAAAGGCACATGAATTGAGATCAAAAGCCAACCAAAGCCCTGAAATGGAATATTTGATTTATTCTTCTGTTTGTCACCTCTCCCCAAAATGTCACATGCATTAATTTTACCTGGGATCCCAGAGGGTTACAACCTTAATTCAGAACAGACAAGCTTGCTGATAGAGTTGAAGCTAGTGCTTCTGCCATCTATGTGTTTCAGGGAAATTAAAGCCTTATATGTGGATTATGATAAGTATTCATAAGTATTGCCTCTAGATACCTTGCAGAAATAGTAAAAATATCTTCTCTGCAATAAGATATCATCATCCTAATTCTTAATTTTCTTAATAGTGACCAGCACACATTCAAAGATAATAATGCAAACAGGAAAATATAACATTATAAGAGTGAACCATCAGAAATAATAGGCAATGATGAAACAGACCATTGATGATTTCAGTTTCCAGGCAGGGAGCAAGAGATCAGAATGTCTACTATGTTTAAAAAGTAAGAGACAACCTTGAAATAGACATAAAAGTAAATTTTAAAACCATAAAAGTAACATAGCAGATGTTAAAAAGATACATTCCTATTTTTTCTTCTAACATATTTTAAAATTTTATATACCTTTTCACCTTAAATAATAGATCTGGTTCAGTAACAGATGAAAATGGAAACATAGAATATGGGTCTGAAGAAAGAATTAGGAACTCATTAAAGAAAGATAAAAAAGAGGGAAAATGCAGACAGAAGAGGATAAAAATCTAAAAGCATTGAACGTGATTTTTGGAGAAATATGGATGAGGATTTTCCAGAACTGGTGAATGAAAACATTACACAGATTTACAAAGTTCAGTGACCCTTAAGCAATATAAATAGAGACAAATTGATCCTTGGACATATCATAGTCAAAATACATAAAAGCAAGAAAAGATAAAACCTTAAAAGCAGTCAAAAGAGAAATGGTAAGTAGACTGAATTACCAATGACAGGAATGGAAGTCAGAAGGTACTAGAAGGAAATTTGCAACATGCGGAAAAGAAAACAACTTCCAACCTAGAAGGTCTGTACTGAAGAAAATATTCTTCCAGAATGAAAGTGAGATAAAGAATTTTTGGAAAAAACAAAAATTGAGAGTGCTTACCACGAGATGACAGTAAAATTCCAAAGGAGGAATTTAAGACAAAAAAGAATGCCAGATGTAGACAGAGAAGTAAAAATTTAAGTCAACAAAGACTTTGTAATAATAATAATGATAGTGTCTTATGTGCTTAAAATATAGAATATTAAAATATACAACAGTAAGAGCAGAAAAGTTAGGAAAGGAGTAAAATAATTTGCATTCAGACAATGGAATATGAAACCAAACCATGAAAACATATGAAGAAAACTTAAATGCATTTTACTGAGGGAAAAAAGTTTATCTTAAAAGGTTGCAAATTATAATTGTATAATTCCAACCATGTGATATTCTAGAAAAAGCGGAAACTGTCAAGATAAGTGATGAGAGGGGTTTGGGGTGGGGGTGGGGAGGGATGGATAGGCAGTGAACTGCTCAGCATGATGAATGGTGAATAATGTCATTGTATGTTTGTCCAAACCCATAGAACTTTAACACCAACAGTGAACCCTAATGTTAAATGAAGATGTGGGGGATAGTGCTGTGCCACACTACTCTCAGGTGACAGCAAATTTAATCCTCTATCTAGCCATATCGTGAATAGGGGAGGGTAAGTTGGGGAGAGGCAGGAAGTATATAGGAACTCTGTGCTTCCCACACGATTTCACTGTGAACCCAAACCTGCTCTAAAAAATAAGGTTCATTTAACAAAAATTCAATGGAAACAAAAAAACTACATGAAAATTACCTTCTTATCCTTGTGAAATTATTACTATCGACAAGGGTTTTCTAACGTACTTCAAAATACTATTAATAGTGTCTGTGTTTTTAATAAATACAATATTAAAATGCATAATAGTAATAGTAGACAGAGAGCAGTAAAATAATTTAAGGGTTCTGTCCAGAGGAGGTAATATTAGATCCTGAAAAAGTGCATATTTGTAATTTCTAGTGTGATCATTTAAAGAATAGAAACAGAGCACATATATAACTTTCACACTAATAAAAGGGAAAAGTGAAATTTTCAAAATCAATTCTAAAGACAACATAAGAAAATAGAAAAAGAAGCAGAGAATAAACAGGGTGTATAGAAATAAGATGGAAGATTTAAATCTAAAGATATCAGTAATTACATTAAGGATAATGTTCCATTCCAAAGAAAATGAGATTAGGTTTTTTTCAATTTAACAGCATGATGTTTGCAAGAGATAAATTTAGATCACAATATTATACAAAGTGGTAATAAAATGATTTTTTTTAAAAAAGGTATACCATGCCAATGCTAGCTAGAAGAAAGGTGAGATAACTGTGGTAACACTGATTAACAAAGCAGTCATATAATGAAAAAGGGTTCAATTCACTGGACATATATAATAATTCTAAATTTTGTAAAACAAGGCAAAATTTGACAGCATTATAGGAAAAACAAGTCTGAAATTTTTCAGTTATTGACAGAAAAAGCAAGCAGAAAAATTTACCAATGATGTAGAAGAACTGAAAATCAGAGCAAACAAATTTGATCTAAAAGACATAGGTAGAACACTCTACCCACTGCAAAATATACATTATTTCCCAGCATCTATAGTGCATTTACAATGAACTTGGTGGTCATGCTAGTGCTAATTCTGTAGGAATAAAATTACATGGAGTGTAACCTCTAACCATTTGCAATTGTGCTACAAAGCAACAATAAAAAGATAAATAGAAAAGTTCATATAATTTGAATTAAAACATATACTTGTAACTACTTAATAGATTAAAGAAGAAATAATAATGGGAATTTTAAAATAGTCATGATTCTCTGGGAAACATTAATCTGCCAGATGGCAAAGCTTATTTTAAGAGACAAACATTAATGTTGTGTGGTACTGATTCAGAAATGGACCAATAATCTAATGACACAGAGTAACAACCCCAGAACACAATCCACGAGTGTTAGGAAGAGAACAGCCTTCTTAATAACAAGCTGAGATAACTGGCTATCCATAGAAAAAAAATTAATCAGACCCCTACCTACTCAAAATTTATTTTCAAATCATTTAACTATAAAAATAAGATAATCTCTTTACAATCACAAAGGACAGAAGGACTTCCTAATTATAGTACAAAAAGTATTAGTCATATAGATAAAGATTTAGTATATTTGAACTTATTAGTGTGAATAAATTTCTGTTCATCAAAAGGACACAATAGGGTGCTTGCTTGGGCAGCACATACACTAAAATTAGAACAAGACAGAGAAGATCAGCATGATCCCTGTGCAAGGATAACGCACAAATTTGTGAAGCATTCCATATTTTTTATAAAGACACAAATGGGTGTAAATATACTTTGGGTACAACCAAAGACATGAAAAATTGTGTTCTATATATGTAATAAGAATTGTAACGCATTCCGCTGTCATATATAAATATAAAAATAATAATAAAAAGTAAAAATAAATAAAATGCCTGTATTTTCTATTTAAGAAAAAGGACATAATAGGGGGCTGGGAATATAGCATAGAGTGCTTGCCTGCCATATGAGAGGCCCTGGGTTCAATCCTAGCACCACACATTCTCTCTCTCTCTCTCTCTCACACACACACACACACACACACACAGGGAAAAGACACCACATAAAGAGGGAAAGGAAAACACACAGAGAAAGAAAAGATATTCATAATACATGAAACCAACAAAAACTAGTAACCAGAATATACAAAGGAATAAATAGTAGACAAAAATTGAATTTTTGTAAGTAGGCAACATGTTTTTAATTTTTATTTTTCCCACATCTTTATTGGCACATTATAGTTATATATACTGATGGGTTTTTTTGTTATATATTCCTACATGCACACAACACACAATATATCAATATAATTTGACCAATATCATTCCCCAACACTTCCCCTCTTCTTCCTCACCTCCCACCCCTGAGTCCCTTTTCTCTACTGATCTTCCTGTGATTTTCATGAGATCCCCACCACTCACTTTTATTTTCTTTTTTCCTCTCTACCTTCCACACATGAATGAAAACATATGATTCCTAATCTTCCAAAAATTGAATTTTACAGTTAGCTTAAAACCTGGGTGGTTTCCAAAAGTATAAATTTAATTGATCAATAGTCTATGAAAAAGGTGTCTACCTTATTAGTAATCATAAAATGCAAATTAAACCACAATGACATGCTATTATTATACATGACCAGATAGGTAAAATTTGAAATTGGCAATTTCAAGTGTCAATAAATAATCAGAACAAAAAAAAAATCTCAAAAATCTGGTAGGAGAATGAATTGGTACAAACACTTTGGAAAGTTTGCTCTTATTTTTTATAGTTAAAGATAAGCATACCCAGTAATATGCTCTTGAGAAACTGTAGAATACATAAATATGAATATTCATTTTCACATGGTAATGGCTGAAAATTGAGAACCCTAAATTCGACAGTGGATGGATAAATTGTGAAATATTCACACAACAGAATATTCTACAGCAATGAAAATAAAAGAACTACACGTCCACGCCTAATCCCAGTCACTCAGGAGGTTGAGGAAAGAGAATCTCAAGTTTGAGGCCAGCCTCCACAATGTAGCATGACACTGCCTCCGGATAAAAAAAATAAAAAGGCTGAGGATGTAGATCAGTGGTGGAGCACCCGTGGGTTCAATCTCCAGCACCACAAAAAATAACCGAAACCAAAACTATAATAATACAAATGACCTTATGAAGACAAGGCTAAGAAAAAGAAAATATAAATAAAAACATAGTGCATGATAACATTATATATAGTTTTTTTGAAACCAGAAAAATCAGGCACACTATATTTTTCAGACAAACACACAGAGGGTAAGAATATAAAGAAAATGAAGGAAGTGATTTCCTAAGAAGTTAAGGTAATGGTAACCCTTTAGGGAAAAGGGAGGGAGAAATTATCTGGAAAAGGTCAAGATGTTGGCAATATTCTATTTCTTTCTTTTTTTTTTTTAATATTTTTTTTTTTAGTTCTCGGCGGACACAACATTCTTGTTGGTATGTGGTGCTGAGGATCGAACCCGGGCCGCACGCATGCCAGGCGAGCGCGCTACCGCTTGAGCCACATCCCCAGCCCGGCAATATTCTATTTCTTGATCTGGTTTCTTGTTATGTAGTGTTGGTTTTTTACAATGGCTGTTATACTTTACATTTTGATGTTATATGCACTTTTGGGTCTGTTATTTCTTAATTTATAATGGTTTAACAAGAAAGAAGGAAACTGATTAGAAAAAGGGCAAGAATGAAAGATGTACCAGCTGGCAAACTACTGTGGTTGTTTACAGAAATACAAGGTGATGATGGCTTGGATTACGATGGTGGTACAGAAGTAATGTAAAGATATGAATTCAAGATAAGTCAGAATGGAAAAGACTGGATTTCAGCAGTGAGAGAAAGGGGAATCACAGGTGGCTTCTGTTCCAGGCCTGAGGATGCTGGAGGAAGGGGTGGGGAGAAAAGGTTAGGAGTAATGATTGGGATATGGAATTGTGTGTCTTGTTCTAGGCATTAAGTTTAAGATGCCCGTGAAAGGTTTATCTAGAGGTATCATTTATGTTGTTTAATATAGGCATGACATAAACGAAGGATTTAATAGCATCTCTATGCTATTTTAAAACATTAAGACTGGATATGATCACCTGAACACAGTGTAGAAACAGAGGCAGGCTCAGGAGTAGCTCTGATTAAATGCACCTACATAACATAACAGAGAAATTTAAAAAAAGAGAGAGAGAGAGAGAGGTTATGAGATAGCAGGAAAACAGACGTGGGTCCCAAAAGCTCCAAGATGAAAGTGAAGCAGGAGGGAGCCATCAACCAACTATATCAGTATGGAGAGGTGGAAGAAAATGGGAACAAAGAGATATCTTTGGGATTTAGCAACGTGGAGATCATTGGTAATCTTAGGCAGTGTAGTTTCAGAAGGGTAAAGGCAGGAAACTGGATTAAATAGGTTGAAGTTTAACAGGAATTGAGCAAGTAGCCCAGTGTGGTGGCGCAAGCTTAGAATCTCAGCTACTCAGAAGGCTGAGGCAGGAGGATGCAAGTTAGAGGCCAGCTTGGGCAATTTGAGACCACTGTCTCAAACATATAAAACAAAAAGGTGCCGTGGATGCCATGGCGCATGCCTGTAATCCCAGAAACTTGGGAAACAAAGGCAGGAGGGTTGAAAATTCAGAGTGAGACCCTAAGTGACTTAGTAAGACTGTGTCTCAAAATTTTTAAAGTTTTTTAAGAGGGCTCAGTGATTAAGCACCCTGGATTCAATCCCAGATACCAAAAACCAAAAAGCAAAACAAACAAATTTGGGGATGATATCCAGTGGTAGAGCCCCTGCCTAGCATGCATGAAGGCCTGGGTTCAGTCCCCAATAGCAACAAAACTAAACAAAACAAACGAACAACAACACGACAACAACAACAAAAAAAAAAACACAGGAAATAAAGGCAGTGTGTATAAATAAATCTTTTGCATTTAGATTATAAAATATAATGCAGAAATGAGGCAGTGTGGGCAAAGTAGAGACAAGGGGCCTTAGTCAAGGAGACTGAGGACAATGATGTCAGTGAATGGCTGTTGGATAATGGCAGAGAAAGTAAACCAAAGGCAACATCACACATTCAAATTCTCTGAGGGTCTGTACTGCTGGTTCGTAGTTCACTGATTCCCCAAATTTCTAATCCTGAAAGTAAGTTTCTATTAAGCAAGCTGTCTCTTATTAAGCAAAACTGATTATTTTAAGTTAAGCAAGTTGATTTTCATTTCACCATAACAAGGAAACTCCCAGGGTTACGCTGAAAGGAAACTTCAAGTGTCTGCTATCCTCGTAGAAGAAAGAAATACTAAAGATAGACATAAAAAAATATATTCATGAATTATGAATTGTATAAATTGTCCATTGTGATATTTAATATCTGTTCGTTAAATTCTTTATTGCTCATACCCTGCTTTCAACAGAGACATTAAATTATCAAGAACTTTGAAAACATACAATAATATATAGTAAATATTTAAAGCACCCATTAGCAAATCAAAGGAGAAGGAAACATGTTATACAAAACATTACCTTTGACTTACTTTCTTTTTTTTAATATCTATTTTTTTAGTTTTAGGTGGACATAATATCTTTATTTTATTTTTATGTGGTGCTGAGAATTGAACCCAGTGCCTCACTCGTGCTAGAAGAGCACTCTACCACTTGAGCCCCAGCCCCAGCCCTTGACTTACTTTCTTGATTTTTTATGTTTGTTGGAACAGATTGTGATCTTAAATTTAACTTTTCAAAATCACTCTTTCTGGGTTCCGGTTCAATTTTGAAATATACACATCTGGAAGACATAAAAAACAAATCTAAATTAAAAGAATCAGAAAATTTATAAAACAAATCTAAAAAACAAATTTTGAGAAATATGTGAAGTTCCATTTATATAAATTTAGATATTACACTAATACTATTATAATAAAAAGTATAAAAGATTGAGTAGGAGCTGAAAATACTAATGTTAATCATTTGAAACAGAGGGGACAAGAACCCCACTGTTGTGATAGGGTTAAGGGCAGTCCAAGGACACTCACTCTCCACAAGCTAACTAACCTTTTCAGAAAACTATGCTGCAAATTAGTCCCATGAGAAATTGGGGGCATTGCAGACCTGAATTAAAGTGGTGGGACACAGAGTTAGGGACAGTCCACATACCAGAATGGTCAATCAGATAGGATCACAGCATTTATGTACCGTAGACAGAATGTCCCTCCTCTAAATTTAACTGGTGTGTTCCTTTAAAATTTTGTATTTTATTTTAAGTGCTTATTTAATATCACTGGAAAATACTTCTACGATTGTGCAGTACTCTAGTGAGAATGGGCATCATCCTGACTCTAACTGAAATGGGAATGGGTCAAGTGTCCCACCCTGAGAATGATGCTGGCTCTACAGATGTCTCTCCACTTACAAGAGGGTTATGTCCTAATAAATCCATAGTGAAATGAAAATACTGTAAGTAAAAAATGCATTCAAGGCCTTGGTGATGGGTAGAAGCTGGAAGAATTTCAAAATGCATGCTGGAAAACAGCTGATGTTGCCATGAAGGGTCTCACCCTTTTTAACTGAGGTGGTGACAGCACTGTATCCCACCTGTCCATGCACTCTAAGAGGTCTGTGGTGGGAGTGGCAGACTTGGTGCTTTTCTGAATTGCTTCTGGGCCCTTCTTCTCTTGCTTGAAGAATAGAGTATGTTTTACTCATGTTTATAGCAGCACAATTCACAATAGCCAAACTATGAA